AAAAAAATAAAAGGGTTTATCTAGACACTATAGTCATGCACATGAATCTATAATACCAAAATTGTATTTAACATTATTTTCGCTTATTCTTCTATTTGCCAATTTATTTATTTTGAAGTGCTCTCGACTATGAAGTGCCACGCCCCCCCCTCCCGCAAGTTAGTCGGCCCTATTGGCACACACACACACACACACACACACACACACACACACACACACACACACACACACACACACACACACACACACACACACACACACACACACACACACACACACACGGGCGCACGCACGCACGTCGCACATTAATACTATGCCATATCATTATTGCTAAGATTATAATGTTATTAATAATCAAACTAATGGTAAATTATAATGCGATAATGATGATGATAATAATAATAAAAACAATAGTAATAGCAGCATGAAAATTATAATATTGTTCCTTCATATTGCGATTCTTTTTATTGATTATGCCAACTATCCCTCCTATATTTTATTAGTTATCGATAGGACACATATATATATATATTTTTTTTTCTTTAGCACAACACCCCATACCGCATTTTGCGTCTTAATAATATCAAATATTAACATCAACTAAAAGCAAATCTGACATATATCCTGACAAATAAATAGAAAAAAAAACTGACGGAACTTTCGTGTTAACTTCTGTCAGGTATTGAAACAGGAAATGCCCGTTATGTCAATTTAAATGAAAAATTAAACATGATACTTAAAACAAAGAGATTTTTCAGTTGACGAAAAGTCATCAGTAAATATACACATATAATCTGGTAGATGGAATTGACATGGGTACAAGAAACAATATTTAACGCAATATTCTTAATAGTTATATATCAATAACTATGACATTATGAAATGACCACCTGTCAATGTGACGAGGGCTATTAAAACTAACAATACTTAAAGTCAACGTTACTTAATTATATCCATACAAGTACCTGACCTGTAATATAGAGAATAATGAACATTGAAACGGAAATGAAAAGTTAGAATATTAATGCTGAGAGAAACTCAACTTTCACTGAACAAAGTAACACAAAACCATAAAAAAATATAATTAATATTGGAATATTAACAGCAGTACATTGCTAACAGCGGCAGGGTGTATGTTTCCCACGCTGACCGAGGCAAACAGTGATTTAGTCAGCCTCAGGGCCACCACATTTACTGATATATATCGCAAGCTAACAATTTCCCTGACGTCACCTTAATACCTTGTTTATTGTTTACGAGGTGAAACTCATGAAAGGTAGACGAGAAAATGAATTTCAATAAGCTGAAAAAAATACATATTAATTATATGGTGTCCGCTATACATACACTACAGTACAGTAGTACCATGTGAGAGGATAAAATTATAAAAAGACAGACATACAGACGTTCATATAGAGATCGGGGGAGTAGATAAGACGGTAGACATAGAGACTTGACAGAGATCAAGATCAAGAAAGAGTGGGAGGAGAAAAGAAGGAAAGAGGAGAAAAAAGAAAGAGGAAAAAAAAGCGAGCAAGTTGATAATAGATTGGCAGGTTAGTGTTGACTGATGGCAGGTTGACCGGTTTGTGATGACTAATGGCAGGTTGACGACTGACAGCAGATTGACAGGTAGGTGATGACATTTCAGGCTGACAGGTTGGTGATGACTAATGACAGGTTGATAGTTTGATGATGACAGATTGCAGGTTGACAGGTTGGTGATGACCAATGGCAGGCTGACAGGTTGGTTGATGATGTCTGATGACAGGTTGAAGATGACTGACGTCAGGTAGACAGGTTGATAATGGCTGATGGCAGATTGACAGATTGGCGACTGATGACAGGTTTAAGATGACTGACGGCAGGTTGACAAGTTGGTGATAACTAATGACAGGTGATAGGTTGACGCTGATTGATGACAGGCTGACAGGTCGGTGATGACTGATGGCAGGTTGACAGGTAGGTGCAGGCTGATAGGGTGGTGATGACTTATGACAAGTTGACAGGCTGGTGACTGACAGCAGGTTGACAGCTTGGCGATGGCATTGCAAGTTGACAGGTTGGTGATGACTGATAGCAAATTTAACATGACTGACGGCAGGTTGACAGGTTGATGACAGATTGCAGGCTGACAGGTTGGTGATGACTGAATGCTGATAACTGGTGCTGATAGTTAATTAACAAACTATTTCATTCAGAGAGAGAGAGAGAGAGAGTAAGAGAGAGAGAGGATAAGAGAGAGAGAGTAAGAGAGAGATAGGAAGAAAGAGAGAGAAAGAGAGAGAGAGAGTAAGAGAGGGAGAGAGAGCGAGAGAGAGAGAGAGAGAGAGAGAGAGAGAGAGAGAGAGAGAGAGAGAGAGAGAGAGAGAGAGAGAGAGAGAGAGAGCGAGAGAGGGAGAGAGAGAGTAAGAGAGGGAGAGAGAGCGAGAGAGAGAGAGAGAGAGAGAGAGAGAGAGAGAGAGAGAGAGAGAGAGAGAGAGAGAGAGAGAGAGAGAGAGAGAGAGAGAGAGAGAGAGAGAGAGAGAGAGAGAGAGAGCAAGCGAGAGAGAGAGAGAGAGAGAGAGAGAGAGAGAGAGAGAGAGAGAGAGAGAGAGAGAGAGAGAGAGAGTAAGAGAGAGAGAATAAGAGAGACAGACAGGCAGACAGACAGACAGACAGACAGACAGACAGACAGACAGACAGACAGACAGACAGACAGACAGACAGACGAAGAGAGAAAGAAAAATGAAAAGGGAGCGACAACGTAAAATAAAACAAAAAAGCAAAAAAAAAAAAAAAGAAGAAAAAAAAATCAAGACCTTGAATCCGGCTGAATCCCGGATTACCCTAAAGAAAACGGGGCTGTTTGTTTACCCTTCGATCAGCTGAGCGGCGGCGGCGGCGGACGGACGGACGGGAAGGAGCAGCACTTTCTCGCATGGAACACTAATTTCAGGCTTTATTCTGGGGGGATCCCGGTCTCGGAGAAGCTATGCCAAGTATGTAGGAGGCGGTTGTTGTGGTGGTGTGCCTGGGCGTGGGGTTTCGGGGGGGCGGGATAAAGGGGAGGATTTGATTCGAGGAGGAGGAGGTGGTGGTGGAGGAAGAGGAGGAGGAGGAGGAGGAGGAGGTGCCTCGATATTTTTTTTTTTTTTGGTTATTTAGGGGGGGGGGGCGTCGAGGAGATGGATGTGTCGCTTATTTCCGCCCCTTTTGCCGCTTCTCTTTCCTGCTCTTTGGTGTTTTCCGACGGTGTTTGGGGCGTAAATAAGACCGCGATGGGGATGTTAAGCAGGTATTCACTCGATTCTGTCGGAGTTTCCCGTCGTGAAAACCGAGTGTTTGTGTGACGGAAGGATGAGTCACAACTTGAATTTAAAGTCAAGTGGATGTTTGAAATACACGAGGGATTTCGAGTGTTTCCTTGGCCATTGTGGGATTCAAGGTTGGCCTCTGTGTTTTGGTTTTACTGAACTCCCAGTGAGATTGGTGAGGAAATGCCTTTTTGTTTGTGGTGAGGGTACAATGCTGATGATATAAGGGATGAAACTTTAATGCATCTACATAAGCTCTGGATCTATATGAGCTGAAGAATATTCAGGAATGAGTGTATTTACATTTTGCTCCTCTTTCATTTAAGAATTCCATAGACAAGTACCGGAAGTGTGTAATAGAAAGGAACCAAGTGTACCCTTAAGCCTAGTCCCAGTCTGAAGATTGCCTGGTAAGTATTTTAGGATTGATGTGGCTGTGTTTAGAACTGAAGGAGATTCATGACTTGCACAGGAATTAGATGATTGTTTCATTCATAATTAGTCAGTTATTTCATAATTTTTATGCTTACAAGAGTTGATTTTTATATCTAAGATATGACTCTAAGTACTTGAAGCATTTATTATTTATGGCATTACACTATATAATTTTTTTTATACAAAAGTAATTGTATGGAAGTGAACAGCCCATTATAAGACAAACTTTTTGGTCATAAACTTATCTTGTTAAATGTATAGTTAGAGTATTACATATAATGCTGTTGTAGTATTGCTTGGTGACTCAAAGCTGTAATTTAATAATTTTATTATAGTGCCAAATTCAGTATACACTTGTTAACATGCCATTGTTAGGCTATAACTCCTTTAATTTTCTTCCAGGTATGTACGGTCCCAGCCGATCAAATTACGGAGGGTATGGCGGTTACTGGGGTGGATATGGCCGACCTCCACATCCACCTCCCCCGCCCCCTGTCCCATCTCACCAGCCACCACCACCATTCCATCCACCTCCTCCACCATTTCACTTTCGTCCAGTTAGGCCGCCTCCGCACACTCTACGTCCCCCTCCACCTCCGCCTCCAATAAGGCTTCCACGACCCCAGCAGCAGCAACAGCCACCTTACCCCCAGCCTCCCATACAATCACAACAAACATGCCAGCAGCTCTACATGCCTCAGCAGCAGGAGAGGAAGAGCCCCACCCTCAGTTCAAGCCGTCCCCAGTCCGCTCAAGCTCCATCAAATCAGCAAAATTACAGATCGAGGCAGAGCAATGGTAGCACCTTACACAGAAGATCCAGTGACACTCCACCGTACCAGGGCATGGATGATGATGAAGTCATCCCTGTTGGCTTCGGGTCTCCGTTAGTGCCGAGAACAAAGGAGAAGGAAATGGAGCCACTAAGCCCAAAGCCGCTTGTACCAAATAATAAAAGGCCATGTAAGTATTTCTCTGTAAATCTCATGAGATCTCATATGGCACAAGTTTAGTGGTCTTGGTGAAATACATAGCATGTGTGAATGATTATTCATCCTTATCTTTTCAGTACCAGTTGAACTCGATCCAAATTTACCTGAAGAGTTAGTTTCAAAGTTCCATAACAATTCCTGTGAGTTATGTGAAGTTAGGGTAAGTGTGCACCTTTACTTTTACTAGTTATTACATGATAGTGTAAGGTTCTGTATAGAATGTGACAAAAAATACACAGCATTTTTTGTAAATATCAGTATTAAGTTGATTTTTGCAGAAAGTGTGATTAAATCCCTGTGTACAGTACCAGGCCAAGAAATTTGAAAAATCTTCTTGATGCTCTGAGATATTCCAACCTCTTTATCTTTCTTTACAGCTGAATTCCAGAGTTCAAGCAAAAAATCATTATGAAGGCAAGCAGCACAAGAAGAAAGTGAAAAACTATATAGATATGTTAGCAAAGGAAGGTCAGCCTCCAGCCAAAGTACCAAAGTTAGACTTGTCGACTCCAAAAAAGGTTTGTGATGAGTGAGCTTTAAGCTGGAAAGTGATTGGTTTATGTGTGATTTTGAAAGAATAAGTTGACTTGCGGCTTGAATTACTGATGGAGATCTGTGAAAGAGAGAGATAATTGGGTGATTTCTTGTATTACAAAAAATATTTATCATTACTGTCTCTGTTGTCACTGATAAATCTCTACAGTCATTTTACTAGAATCCCATGAGAGCTTGTGGAATGCAGAGGATAAATATGCTGTACAGATCTCTATAATTATATCTGTATACTAAATCCTTCCGATTCTCTTCCAGAAATCAGAACCTCTGGATGTTAGTCAGCTTTACTGTAAATGCTGTGACCTAAGCTTTACGTCGGAGCAGCACGCACAGCAGCATTATATGGGACGCAATCACCAGAGGGTGTTACATGGGCTCAAACCTTTGAAAGCTGGCTACTACAACAAGGAAACGGGGAAATGGCAAAGGATGTAAGATATGGTTTAGATGTTTGTCTTGCAAGGTGTTCTATGTGCGATTTCGTATTAACTGCGTCAGCTGGCACTTATTCAGCAGTTAATTATAAATAACTTGGTTCTTTTATTGGACATCAGTAAAAATGAGATAGGCCTAGGAAGTTTAGCAAGTATCATCTTCATTGATGTCTAATACAGAACTAGTTGACACCTAATTAATGAACCTTTTATATATCTATCTGGGTGAAGAAATTTTTGATGCCTAAATATTGAAATCCTTTAGTAACCCCATGCCACCAGGAATATTTAACGTTCATTTTAGTAGTGTTTTGTGAAATGTCTCTGCATATAGGTGGCTCCACAAGTACTTAACCATAAAGGAATCGGTTAGTTTACCTTGTGAACACAGACAATTTCACCTTTCCTTGAGTTTTTTTGAAAAATGTCTTTTGTTTTTTTACTAGTAATATCAGTGATGTAATTATTGTTATACACATTATAATTTTTATCATGCTGTTTACATTACTAACAGCATTATGAAATATAAGAAAATATTTCCAAAAATCAAGGAAAAGTATTATCAGGTGAGATACATAGTAATTGGCTCATTGGTGACTTCGTACCTGTGGAGCCATCTACGTGTAAAGACAATGAATAAACTAAACTCACAATGGGCACGGGATGTACTTACTTTCTATCTGCGGTAGCATTGGGTTAATAGAGAATAAAGTTTCTGATATATAGGTAATGGAATCTTTGATACCTAAGTAATGAGACATTTATGCTATCTGAATAATAAGGCCTTTGATATGTAGATAAGGAAAGCATTGTTATGAAAATAAAGAAAACTTAAATTAGCTACTTGGTTAATAAAATCATGGATACATGGAGGAATGACTAATCTCTTTTACGTGAATGATAAAATGCCTCAGAAATGAAATCTGTGATACCTGACTTGTGAAATATTTAATACCTTAACTGCAAACTCTCTCAAATAACCCGCAAGGCCGCCAGACCCACGGGTGTCTGTGGAGAGAATCGACCTGAATCTGGAGCCGACCTCGGACGACGGAACCGGGTCGAACTCTGACAAGCAGCTTGATCCGGACGGGGTGAAGGAGAGAGGAAGGTTAGTGCTCCTTATTTTATCATCATTATTATCATAAACATAATCATAATCATAATTGTCACTGTCATCGTCATCGTCATTGTCATCATCGTCGTCATCATTATAATCATTATCATTATCATTATTATAATCATCATCATAACCATCATCGTCATCATCATCATCATCATCATTATCATCATTATCATTATCATTATCATTATCATTATCATTATCATTATCATTATCATTATCATTATCATTATCATTATCATCATCATCATCATCATCATCACCATTATCATTATTATTACATCATTATCATTATCATTATCATTATCATCATTGTAATCATCATTATCATTATCATTATCATTATCATCATAATCCTCCTCCTCCTCCTCCTCCTCCTCCTCCTCCTCATCATCATCATCATCATCATCATCATCATCATTATCATCATATCATCATTATCATTATCATTATCATTATCATTATCATTATCATTATCATCATCATCATCATCATCATCATCAACATCATTATCAACATCATCATCATCATCATCATCATCATCATCATCATCATCATCATCATCATCATCATCATCATCATCATCATCATCAACATCATCATCATCAACATCATCATTGTCATCATCATTATCATTATTGTCATCATCATCATCATTATAATCATCATTATGATTATCATTATCATCATCATCATTATCTACATTATAATCATCATCATAATCATCATCATCATAATCATAATCATCATCATCATCATCATCATCATCATCATCATCATCATCATCATCATCATCATCATCATCATCATCATCATCATCATCATCATCATCTTTGTCATCATCATTATCATTATTGTCATCATCATCATCATCATCATATCATCATCATCATCATCATTATCATTATCATCATCTTTATCATCATAATCATAATCATTATCATTATCATCATCATCATCATCATCATCATCATCATCATCATCATCATCATCATAATCTCCCTCCTCCTCCTCCTCATCATCATCATTATCATCATCATTATCAGTCATTATCATTATCATCATCATCATCATTGTCATCATCACCATCATCATCACCATCACCATCACCATCATCACCATCATCATCATCATCATCAAGGCAAAGATACATTTCACAAATTGGTGATGATTGATGACAGGGTGAAAGACTGATGATGATAAGTGACAGGTAGGTTATGATGATAATTAATTGCAATGTAGAGGTGTTATTCAGGTATGTTGCATCACCTCCATCCCAAGTGCATCTTCAGCTCTTCAAAAAAAACAAAACAAAAAAAAACTGGAAAGTGGGACCATTTTATTATTTTAGAGAGTGGTTTCATTTTAATGTTTATAGTCATTTAGCTTGTAGGTATTGTTTTGTATTTACTTTCAAGTACAACTGTGTTTCTACTTTTTAATGATATTCACTTCAGACTTTGTAAAAAGAGATGTTAGAGATGTCCATATATACTCAATTTATTTATTTATTTATTTTTGAAGAACCTGTCTGAGATATCCATATATACTTAATTTATTAATTTATTTTTTTGAAGAACCTGTCTGAGATATCCATATATACTCAATTTATTTATATATTTTTTTGAAGAACCTGTCTAAGTCCCAGGGAGACAAAAAATTTTGTTAGAAAAGCTATTGAGATACTTGATTTGCTGGTTCTAGGTTCTACTGCGAGATGTGCAGTGTCTCTGCAACGTCGCAGGAACAGCTGGACGGCCACCTGGTGGGTCAGCGCCACATGAAAGCCGTAAGAGCCACCGCAAAGAAGGCCAGCACGGCAGTTCCAGGTCAGTAGGTTAAGTTGGGTCAGGTTAGAGTTATTTTCTCTTAATATTTTTCTGTCTTTTTCTCCCTCTTTGCTCTCTTAAACCTTTGAGGATCTTTTTCCAGGTTATTTAAGTCAAAATCTATTTTTTTGATTTTTGATTTCTGTATCATTTGAGGTGCATTGTTTGGAGACATGGGATACAGTTACCATATTCAGTGAGGATTTTACAAAGAATGATATACCATTATTGTTTTTGTTTTTTTTATGTATGAGTTGTCTTGTCTAATGTTATCAAAGCATCCTGCATTTTTTTTCTGGAATTTGGTTTTGGTTCTGTGGTCAATTACTTTCCATTGGCGATTTCTGTTAGGGTTAAATAGCAGATTTAATTCATTTGTTGCAGAGGAATAAATGATGCTAAAGAATAAGTGTCTGGCAAATTAAGACTGGAACTGGCTATCAGCTTTAAGACTGAAACTGCCTCTGAGGTTTAAGCAAAAAAAAACAAATTTGTACATAAAAAACAATAGCATCTTCAACATTTTTTCTGCATATCGGTAATATTCGGTTTATTAAAGTTTTGTTCTTTCTCCCTTCTCTCCCTTTTTCTCCTTAGGGCCGACAGACAGCATTCTCGCAAGTGTGATAAAAGCTGACGAGGTGAAGAAACCCAAATCAAAGGATTTCTCCATCTACAGGACACCCTCAGGTACCTAGGATAGGGAAAACATTAAGCATAGGAGGGCAGGATAGAGGGTCTGTCCCGCTTAGGAGAAGGGATAGATTTTTTCTGAAAGATCTGCAAAGGAGTGTGTGCATTTCCATGGGCTTTTCCCTAGGGCATAGTAGGAAAATAAAGTTCCTTTGAGTCCTATTTAATGAGGCTAAGGATTTATTTTTTATTGAGTGTGAGTATTGTTTGTTTATATGATAAGTATCTCAAGATTTTTAGGTGTTTTGGGTAAACCATCCTGAAGGTTTAGGAAGGTATGGTTGAGATTTGGGACATTTTGAGCACTCTTTTATTAGTGTACTGTATATGTTGGCATGTAAGGCAACTGGGTATATAAGAAATCCCAGAATTGAAAGATAGGGTTGGAGCATTACTCACTGTCTAAGACTACTGTAAGTCTTGCATTTACTACTAAGAGTTTACTGTCTTACTGACTATCACAGTATTAGTTATCTAAATATTTCTGAGAATACAACAGTTGGCCAGCTGGTGTAACATAAAGACTACTGATACTAAATAGACAATGGTTACTTTAAAAGAAATCAATTGTGTTGATTACAGTACTGCCATTTATTTGATATTGTACTGTAGTACAGTTTGCCTTTTACATAATGATTTTTCTTTCCATTAACCCATTAACACTAGTATGTTCATATATTCTTGCCATATACTAGATGACCCAGTAATAATGTTACACAGAATGATAGTTTGTTCATGTGAATGGGATGAAAATTACCTCAAGGAGAAGAAATTTTAAGTCCCCAAATGCATATTAGCTTCCTTTCTCACTACAAAAAAACATTAGGTACGTTCTTTCCAAAGTCACTCTGGTACACCTATCTGTGAAATGATTCTCAGGTAGTGAGGGAGGTGCGGTAAAAAGAAAATGGATTTGAGGCTCCACAGATAGGATTACTGGTTACTGGATGTTATCTGTTGTGAACATAAGGTTGGGATTCTTGGGCATACTGGATTTGGTCTATAGTATTTGAAATACATCATAGTCTGTTATGTCATGGGCAAACTGTATGTTATATTTTTGAAAATCAGATAGAATTGCTGTGTTCTTATTTTCAGGTATGTCATAGATATTTATGATACAGTATTTATTATTCTAAGTAAACATTACTTTTAAATCATCCTCCCTAAGTTATCGGGAAGTTCAATTCATAATATTGAGTTATAGGACAGTAGGTATTGTCTGAGTGCTTTATGTTACCCGAAGTCACAGTTAAAATCTAAATGTTACACTTGGTCTGTAAGACAACTCTTGGTTTTGTAGGAATTTTCCAGTGGCCCACTTTCTGTCTGATTTGCCGACATATGTGGTACTGTAGCTTGTTCATTAATCTAAAGTAAAAAAAATATGTATGTATAATTGCAGTAGAATGACAAGTGGAGGGATTATCTCTTAGTTTTTGATGGTCTTGTCTGTATTTTAAGATGGATTTTGGCTTATTTTCTAGCTGAAGATGAGATGTTTTCTGATGATATTTAAGTGATTTAAAAAGAATTTTCTATTGAAAGCTGACCAAGGCAAAATAAAAACTTCTCTATTTGCTGGCAGTGTGCAGAGTGCTAGAGCACATAACAGCATATTGTGACAGTCTCCTAGGAAGTAACTGATTTTGGGTTTTTAATCTGAGAAGGAAATGTACAGATATATTATTATCTCCCTTGGCTGATAGTGTTTTTTGGATGCAACAGTATACTAAGAGGAAAGTGTATATTACAGGATTTTTACTTATAGACTTAGAATGCTGTTCCTTTTATCAGTAAGTAGTCATTATTACCACAATACCATATAAAAGTCTTGCTATTGTGATTCATAAAAGATAACTGCCACTATGTGTTCATACTTAGGATAATTTTAGCAGCTATTATTTGCCAAATTAACATAGATTGACAAATATTATAGTCCATCCAATACAACAGATATTTTGGAAGGCTTTCACTAACAAGCAGTACAAGTATTACCTATAAGATTTTACCAAGCAGTATTGGGTACCTCTTTAGGTAAATGGGTCCTGTGCATTTCATGAAAAGTCTGGATGCAGTGAGACATCTGATGCAAGACTCTGCCATTTTAACATTAGTTGTACCTCATCACAAGACACTGAACACTCAGCACCAAAGAAGATAGATTTGATCCAGAGTTTCTCATTGTACATTTGTTGTGCCTTAGTAATAATCTCAGATAACACAAAATGAATGCAGAGTATCTTGTTTAAGATGTAGAGATTTAGTTGTTTTTATCTTAATTTTTTTTTATCTTACTGTAGTTTTGTTAATAGGATTTTTAGTCTACTTTGATTCTGTTATATTACTATGAAGTTCAGAGCATTCCAAAGGTGCTATGTTTTGCTTGCCAATTCAGATGTTATCGAAGTCATTAATATTTCATAAGCAGCAAAGAAGATTCCAGATTGAAACATTCTGTAAAAAATATGAGAATTTGAGATTGACTGTAATTGCAAGATAAATAGGTAAATAAATTAAATGACTAGTAAAAGAGGAAAATAATCAGACCTGTATTGGCCTTAGGGAATGCCTCCTGTTTAGGAGATACACCATTATTCAGTCATCCAGATGTTATAGGATTGAAAAGGATGGAAGAGATTTTCTTTCATTGTTAGAAAGCTTAAATCAAGGTGAAATTTAGAAGACCATGTCATTCAATGGACAGCGGTGCCATATGCATTGCCGGTTAATTAATTTCATCATTCTTTTTTTTGACAAACCCATATGCATTTTTTGTGTTCATGAAACGGTGGCTTGTTTTTGCTTGAAGTTAAGAATCACAGTTCACCTGGCTGTTTCTATACTAAATCTTTTGTTTTATTTGATTGGTGTGAGCTATATATATAGATATGAATATATATTTTGTTTTGTTCATAGATTAGATTTTAGAAATAGGAAATTATTTGTGTATATGATTTGCAAGTATAGAGCATGACAAGATAGTGCAATCCTTTAATTTGTTTTGATTTTTTTTGTTTTGTTTTGTTATTTATTTTCTTTATCATAATGTTATTAAAGATTTTATTTGCTCAGGTTTAAAGCCACCATTAATTGTAACTGAAGCATACCTATTTTGTAAAGAAAGAATATAATCTTATTACTGAAAGACTCCTTTGTTGTTTCCTTTTTTCCAACATTTTTTGACACTGATCTCCCTTCCAGGTAAGTATTACTGTGCTCCCTGCGACCTCACGCTAAACTCGGAGAGTCAGTTTGCTCAACATGTAGAGTCCAAGAAACACAAGACGCGGAGAGTCAAGTAAAGAGAAGTCACCAGGGTAACCCGAGGAGTAACGTGCAAGGACAGGATATACATAATGTACATTGTTTCACACAGCTGTTTGTTTTGTAGTTTTTTATATTGGATGTTAGAAAGGTCTGAAGGTTCAGATTCCCAAAATTGTGTAGATGTCTCTTTAGAATTGTGGCTCAGTTGATTTTAAACCCCCAATTGCTAGTAACATTTTATGAGGAATTGTACACTGGAGAAGTCAGAGAACTGGGAAAGAGTGAATAATGATGTTTTGTAATCAGGATAATAAATAAGTAAGAGAACTGATATGAATTAGAGAAAGAGAATGAAGGAATTAGTTTGTTATTCAGAAAGAACTGTGGTGAAAAGGTTTAAAAAAAATGCTAGATGTCAAAGAGGGTGATAAGGAAAAATATTGCTCAGAGGAAAGCTGAAAAGTTCTCATTGGACTGCCCCAAGTGCTAAGAGAGAAATGCTTGCGGACTTCGTTCTTTGGGTGCTGTTGAGACGTGTCCCTCATGCTGTGCTATTGACTGTGACCCCAGAGTATGGGGAAGGAGTCATTGTGAACCATCTGTGATATAAAAGGGAAAATTTAGAACTCTTGAAAGGTTCTATTAACACAAGTTCTTAGGTTCTGAAATAGTCACACTAGTTAACTAAAAGGTTGCTGCATACTTGGATCTAGAATGATCAACATGTATTTCATTTCATTGTTTATCTGTACTTTTTTCCCCCCTTCTATATTCTTTCCTTATTTTTTTTTATTTCCTTGAGAATAGCTTCTGTTTATCAGGTATTTTGGTCCTAGGATTCAGAGTAATGGCATTTTGACAATAGTTCTTTCTTATCATAACCTCAAAGCAAAGAAAGAGAAGATACCGGTTAACTCATGACAATAATGAATAATTTTTAAGAGAACTCCTGCAATAGACACTTGATTTACTGTACCATTTGTATTTAGGCAAGGAAATTTCTGGAATATAGACAACATAACACATGGCGCCTTACCCTACATGCTCATTGTTTTGTGATAAATGTGTACTATTACTTATTACATTACCAAAGTGATCTGAAGTTTGTGTTCGCTCTCTCATGCCGTATATATGAGTTTACAGAAAAGGGAAGAGGTTGCATGTGTGGAATCCATATTGTAATATGCACTGCTGTTTTCAGTGCAGTGTAGAAGAACTTTTAATTGCAGTTGCAGATTGCTGTGTTTGTAAGGCAATTGCTGAGGAAGTGTAGTTATGTTGTTTCAGCTTGGAAGAATGTGTTTCTTGTATGGTACAAAACTGCCTCTCCTCTTGGCATTGCCTGTGTGTTCCCCATTTTAATTTTTTTTTTACTTATTTATTTATTTATCATACTTTTACGGTGTTTGCTGTTGCATAGAAGGCAGGTTACAGAATTGATATTTTAAAATTTCAGTGCAGAGGGAGAAAAGCTTTTATGAACAGAACTGTAGGTGTCTGGAGGTGACAGTAAAGGGATTTAGGCCCTGTTGCTGGTCCCCTTATATGCAAGGATGATTTTACGTGCATGGTGCTGAGAGCAGGAAAAACTCTTGTTCTCTCTTGGCATAGGCTGTCTGCCCATAGATGTCAGGTCTTCTTGTGTCTTTGTTTTGTCTGCCATCTGTACTCTTTTTCATTCTTGCGCTCTTTCTTCCTAAAGCAGTCACGCTAAACCCAAGCCATAATGAATATCACAGCTGTTTTTCTTTTGTTTTTTGTTTTCTTTTTCTTTTTCTAATATCATTTTCTTAGCCTCTGGTGCTTTTGGTGGGAGTTTGGAAAGAGCTCAAATTTAACAGATATCCTATAGAATTATAATATGTAATTTTTTTGTTTTTTTTTGTTACTTATTGTTTTGTTTGTTTTATTTGTTTTGTTTTGTTTTTTGTTTTGTTTTGTTTTGTTTTGTTTTGCATGTGATATTCAACTCTGTATCATGGAAGACAGATGGTTCTATACTGCTAGTGGTAGCTTTTTTTATTTTATTGATTACTTTGGCCAACATATACATACTCTCGTCAGTGCTTGAAAGTTAGTCATATAGATTTGGGTCTGATGGCTGGGTTGCATCAACAGCAAGGAAATTTGCCATTTATATTGTGGTTTTGTAAGTGGTAGTTCTGGGGAAATGTGTTAGAAACATTGGGAACCATTATGTCTATACAAAAACACACTAAATACATACACGTATATATCTGCATATGCATAAGTGCACACAGATGGACAAATGTGTACTAGTGTATATAAATACATGTGTAAATGAGCACATGTGCACCTACTTACTTGAGCATGTGCACACACACACACATGCATGCACACGCATATTTTCACTTGCAAGCACATGCACAAGAAGACATGTTCATGCATATCCATATGTACATTTACATTTATACACATACACAAACATGCACATCCATATGCACCCCCCCCCCCCCCCCCACCAATATCCCCCCCCCCCCACACACACATACACACCCAGACACCCACACTCACCCATACACCCACCCACACCCACACCCACGCACACCCACGCACACCCACGCACACCCACGCACACCCACGCACACCCACGCACACCCACGCACACACACACTCTTACTCACTCACTCTCTCTCTTTGTCAACTTTTAGTGTATTTATTTATTTATATGTTTGTTTTAAGAACCAAGGTCTTAAATCTTAAGAACTAAAAAAAAATATCTCTTTAGCCACACGAAGGAAGTTCCGGGAAGTGGCGGCCATTTTGCTCAAATTAATGTTCTTGAAGAATATTTGTATTTCTGTGACTGTTAAATGTTTGTAAGTAAGTATATTTTAGTGTTAGGAGTGTGGTGTCTTTTTTAGATCATTGACTGACTACCTTTTTCTGTTTTCTTCGTAGTAATGTGAAGTTTGCTTGTGAGGATTTATCCCTGCATTATGTTACGTGCTTGCGGTGCTCCTTTAGATTAGCTAATGTACAAAGTCATCCGGTTTTAGATGTGTCAGTGTACTGTTTTTAGACACTGTGAATTTGCCATGAGCTAGCTGTGAAATGGTATGATTTAGAAATAGCTTCCTTTTTTTTTTTTTTTATATTTCGTATAGTGATAGCTAGTTTGTTTTCAGTAATTATGATTAGGGAGGTAATGAATCTTTTGTAATGCTGGAGCAGGTGAGAAGCATCAGCTGGCTTAGATCAGGGAGCGGATTTTGGGACTGAGAGATTGACGTCACCAGTCTGAAGTCCGTCTAGAGATCATCATTTGCATCAAATTGGTATCTCGAAAGAAGGGAAATGTTTTCTGGTCTTGGAAGATGGGTCGGGGAGATGTGAAGTCACTTTGCTGATGCTGGTTTGATGAAACTTCTCGAATAGAGGAAGGCTAGATTTATACTAGGTGTGGTAATTTTCCTAAGTTTGGATTTGCCAAGTGTTTATGTAGACCTATATTATTCAGGTGTAACGGCAATGGTTTTCGAATTCCCTTATTTCATATAGGTAATTGTTGATGTACAGTCACTAATTTTGCGGATACTCAGAGGGAATTTCATTTTCTATCTAACTTTGATAGGCTGTGTGAGGCAGACATCTGACATAACATTAAGTAAAAATTTAGATGAGCAGCTATACAGAAAGCTAAAACCTATGGTAATAATAGAACTTCAGGCTACCAAATAACTGATCATGTAAAAAGTATTTCAAGACCTCACCTGCAACCTTCAAGCTCATAGTTAATTCTGATATTGGACCTAAAGTTGGATGTCCCTTCCTGTAGGATTATAGTTGTTACCATGTGAAACTGCCAATCAAAAGCTAAGAGTAAGTGGCTACGAATAATTTATCTTATGCTCAAAAAGGAAGATAATTTGTTACTCAAGAATACCGCTGATTAAAGCTTTAAAGAATGAGGCTTCTCATAACTCTTAAGAATGCTGTATTAGGAACTTGTTCAGTTAAAGTTAGGGATAGTTTTAGGTTTAGAAAATAAGGGAGGGTGATGGAGGAGTTGTTGCTTTGCTGATCTTTTTCATGTACAAAAGATAGCTTTAGGTAATGTGCTTCATTTATGTAATGGTTGCTAGATAGTGCTGCCAATCTCATGTTGAAGGAGGACTTTTAAGTAATACTGCATAAAGCTCTAGTTTCTTTTTCTCATATTTGTAAGTATGAGGATGTAAGTTACCAGTGAATGCATAATCACAGGAGTCATAATATGGTAACTTTTATGCCGACGTTATAGTAGGTTATGTATTTCGACATGATGAAAGTGTGACGATTTTGCCTAATGTTGCAGAAGTCCTTTTTTTTTTTTTTTGGTCATTGCTTGGTCAGTACTGTTTTGCTTGTTAATTTATGCTGTGAACTTTTATATACCCAATCTCAGTTCTGCCTGTAAAGATAGGCCAACTACATTTGTGAGCTGGGTAGCACAAAGCAGATAGGAGTGACGCTTGAGCTCTATAGAATCCCAAATCATCCTTGAGATAGTGTTCCTACCTTCTTCCATGAGCGGGTCTTCGAGGAAGCTGTAGTTCATTGTGTAGGGCCTGTGATGATAGCATGGACATCTCCCCTTTTTTCCCGATACAAAACGGAATGTGATCCTTTGCAAAAGAGAGAGTGAGAGAGAGAGAGAGACAGATAGAAAGAGACGTTAAACAGTGACTCGCTTATCCCATCGGAATACTTTCAAGCATTGTCTGTTTCATGGCAAGATCGTGAAGGATTTTTCTTATTCTTTCTTTATGGGACTTGAATTTCTTTTTAGAGGTAATGAATCTTTTGTAATGCTGGAGCAGGTGAGAAGCATCAGCTGGCTTAGATCAGGGAGCGGATTTTGGGACTGAGA